TATATATATATATATATATATATATATATATATATATATATATAAATATAAAAATGTATATAAAAATGTATATGCAGTATATGGTGCCGGCCCTTCAGGCCTGAAGAACTTTAGAGTTTTTCACCTCCAGCCTCTCACAGTGCGTCAGAGAGACATCCAAACATGGTGAGGCTGCAGCAGGTCGACTCAGACGTTGTTGCCAGGACAGCCAAAACTAATGAGTGGTGTTTGAGTGGAGCCAGCAGAATCCTCACAGGACGGCCATTACTGCAGCAGAGAGAGGAGAAACCTCTGAGGGCTTCTGACAGTCAACAAGCTGAGCATCTCTTCTGCAGAGCCGAACACAGAGCTCACACTTTACCCCTGAAGCTTCTCTAAATAACACACACTGAACACATATTGTCATTTAGAGCCTTTGCCTGTTCTGCAAAGTTCGGGGTGTTCTTTTTTGTGGCAGATTGCTGATAAAACTGCTTCATAGTCATATTTGATTTGGATATTTAAAGTTGAACGATGCAGGTGACAAGAGGACTGCGTCAGAATTAAGCTCCACGTGCAAAACGTCTTATATTTTGAGAAGGCGTCACATGTGAAAAAGTGCACTAATAATGCACCACTGAGCAATAAGTCAGAAGTTTGCAAGTGACTTTATGAATAATTTGCTTTAAAATCCAGACTGGACGTTGCTTTGCTTCAACGTATAGAACTTGCGGTGCATTTTTCTTCCATTATATGATTCAAGATATGAGGATAATGAACTCACATCTACAAATTCTCAGTTGAAATTTTTAAACTCATCAATTGTGCAAAAGCCTTCAGCTCATGGGATCCTGTAGAAACTCTGGAACCCACAAGCCGACGAGAAACGGCCGAGTCAGCGCCGGGCAGCCAAGAAAAACAAGTGGAGTTTGTGAATGACCGATAACCGGACCAGGGTGCAATTACAGGGCGGCTTCTGTCAGTGAAGGTTGAGATGGTTGATGAGGGCAGAAATATCTCTGTTGTTGTTTGTCATAACTGGATGAAATATTGTTGGCATGCTGAGCAGAGTGGAGCGTTTTTTGATGGTTTTTCTCAGGCTGAACGCACGTTTCACTGAACAGTGATGAATTTATTAAATCTGACATGTTCAACGAGTAACTGCTCAGAGGTTTAAAGTTTCTGACAATGCTGCCGATAAATTCCCTGAACGTTTAAAAGTTTATGTGATTTATCTGGAACTGGTTTGACTAACAGATGTCTCCCGTCTCCGTTTCCTTGTTGCAGATGAACCCGATGAGGCCCAGTCAGCTGATGACCGCACCACCCTCCTCTCGTTGCTCTCCATCTCGGGGCCATTGAGGCTGAGGAGGTTCCCCTTCGGCCCGCCTCGTTTCGTCACCATTTCCTCTCCGACTCAGTCCCCCAGAAGCGTTTCAAAGCTGTTTCTCCAACGCTTTTTCCAGAAACTCAGACTGTTTTCCAAAGCAGAAGCAGCACAGCCCTCCCAGACTGAGGTGATGGGAAGCGTGCGAGCCAGCCACTACAGCATTGTGTCATCAGAGGAGGACGGCATGAAGCTCGCCACAATGGCGGTGCCCAGCGGCTACGGGAACGGCAAGAGCAAGGTGCACACGAGGCACCAGCCGCAGAGCCGGTTCGTAAAGAAAGACGGCCACTGCAACGTGCAGTTCATCAACGTGAGCGAGAAGGGCCAGCGGTACTTGGCCGACATCTTCACCACCTGCGTGGACATCCGCTGGCGGTGGATGTTCATCATCTTCTGCCTCGCCTTCCTCCTGTCGTGGCTGTTCTTCGGCTGCATCTTCTGGCTGGTGGCCATCTTCTACGGGGACTTGAAGAACAACCCCCAGAAGTGCGTCTCCAACGTGAGCAGCTTCACCTCCGCCTTCCTGTTCTCCATCGAAACTCAAACCACCATCGGCTACGGCTACAGATATGTGACGGACGAGTGCCCGGTCGCTGTCTTCATGGTGGTTTTCCAAAGCATAGTGGGCTGCATCATTGACGCCTTCATCATTGGCGCCGTCATGGCAAAGATGGCGAAACCCAAGAAGAGGAACGAGACTTTGGTTTTTAGCCACAACGCCACGGTGGCCATGAGGGACAACAAGCTCTGCCTGATGTGGCGTGTGGGCAACTTAAGGAAGAGCCACTTGGTCGAGGCGCATGTGCGGGCGCAGCTTCTGAAATCCCGGACGACGGCGGAGGGGGAGTACATCCCTCTGGACCAGATGGACATCGATGTGGGTTTCGACAGCGGAGTCGACCGCATCTTCCTGGTCTCCCCCATCACCATCGTCCACGAGATCGACGAGGACAGCCCCTTCTACGACATGAGCAAACAGGACCTGGAGACCACCGAGTTTGAAATCGTGGTCATCCTAGAGGGCATGGTCGAGGCGACCGCCATGACCACGCAGTGCCGCAGCTCCTACGTCGCCGGTGAGATCCTCTGGGGCCATCGGTTCGACCCGGTGCTCTTCGAGGAGAAGAACTACTACAAGGTGGACTACTCCCGCTTCCATAAGACATACGAGGTGCCGAGCACCCCGCTGTGCAGCGCCAGAGATCTCGCGGAGAAAAAATACATTCTAACGAACTCCAACTCCTTCTGCTACGAGAACGAGATGGCGCTGGAGAACAAGGAGGACACGGACGAAGGCAACGGGGGCAGCGTTGGGCCCGACGGCACCCAGACGGACAACATCTCGGAGACCGAACACATTCAGGCCACGGTGCCGCTAGAGCCACGGCCTCTGAGACGAGAGTCCGAAATATGAATGTTCAGAGCTCAGACCTCCCGCGGGGGATTTTTATAAAAATCACCTCTCTGCTCCGGGTGGCACAATGAGCCGAGCCTTATGGGTAGAGGACAAGCCGAACGGTACTGCTGTGTGTGTGGGTGGGTGTGGGGGGGGGGGCAAAGGTTTAGGGCTTTGTATGCAAGAGTCTGTTTGATTGCGTACAGAACGACAAAACACAGCACTATGAACCACGTGCATAGTGCAGGAAGAATTCTCCACAAAGGGTCTGGTGACCGCAACATGACGGAGAGGAAAGGAGCTTGTTGAGGACTTTGAAAAATTGCAGGCATGTCTCAGTTTGTCTGTCCGGCATGAACAAGACGCTTTCACAAAAAGGTGTTTTTTTATTTTTATAGTTAGAATATGTCCTCAAGTGCTGCTAGAAAAAAACAAGTTCAACTTTGTGCCTTCTCGTAGAACCAAAGAGAACACAAAATGGTCGATGTCTGGAACAAAGAAGGTACACGTAGAGTATTTGTTCACGAGCTGGTCTCACAGAAGTCTGAATAAACTGCACCAAAACATTTCTGTAAGTTTTCTGATCTCCTGCTTTGTTATTGATCTGAGGGACTGTTCATTGCTGGTCAGACCGATAGAAACATGCCTGCTCATGTCGAGTATTAACGGCATCAAACTGACAGAAGAATCATTAATTTAAACGGAGACCGGGGTAATAAGAGAATCTGAATGTTCTTAAAAGTGCTGCTATGATGTTGCTTCTTTTTGTTTTTTACGATTGATAGAAAAATACCAAAGAGTATTATTATCATAGTTATGTGTTTCTTAAAAACAACACCTGCTTAGATTTGGTACAGAGAAGTAGAACGTTTAGGTTTGTTTTTCAAGAATGTGTGTACAGTTTTTGTTTTTTTTGTTTTTTTAATACGTCTTTATCTCGAGCCACTTCATCAAGCCTTAATCTGGAAGAGAGGGGAAGTGAAGATGTACAAATCAGCCCAAGTGGCAAAGGCTTTACTGCAGAGGACGGTAAACAGGAAGCACTGGTTCTGTTGGGTTTGCTGAACTAAAACAAAGACTCACCGACGTTTTGGAGGATCTTTAGTCGTCAACTTAAACCACAAAGTTGATTTTTAAACTTACTTTTCATGTGTTTTGATTGGAGATTGTAAGAAATATTTTCAAAGCCACGTTCCCTCTTCAGCCTTCAGACACGTTGAGTTCCCTGTTGAACTGCCTTTGTTTTACTTGAGGAAGGAAGCTTTAGAAAGCCAAATGTACTGTAACCGGTGTTTGAAGGCGACCGCACAAGAGTTTGCATCAATACAAATTAATATCCTTTATTTTGTGTATGACTGAAGGCCGTGCATGTGTAAATACCTCCCTCCCTGTCGCAGTTCTTTTGTATCAGTCTTCCAAATGTACTGCAAAAACCATGGAATGTACAGATTTTTGTATTAATATTAAAATAAATTTTCAATAAAATGTCAGTGGACAGTCTGAATCATGCTGTGTGGCTTTGGATCAGAGGCAGAAACATTTTCAAACATCTTTTTTTTATTCTACAAAAACAGTTTAGATTATAGGATATTTGTGAATCTTACAGTAACACTATAACGTGTAACAGTAACTCGGTACATGTACTCAGTTACCTTTGAGGTACTGCATGCTACTTTGAACTTAAATGTTATACATTTTACTTTACTACATTTAGCATATAGCATAAAGCAACACTACACAAATACTCTCACAAGTTTATTTTTGGTAATAAGTAACGGCAGCAAAATGTTCTCACAAGCACGACTTATAAAGATTAGCGCTCGGTTAAAACTGGACTCGTACTTTTATCTCATCACAGGAAAGAATCAAAGAATCTTATGAATGTATTTTCAACGTTTTGACAATACAACATTTAGAAATGTCTCCTTTCTTCAGACACATCGGAGGCCTGAACACCTCCAGCTGCAGGACGGATTAAAAGCTTCTCGTTTACATACATTGTTCTCATCCATCGTCTTTAAAATGTCCATTCAGTCACGAGTATCAAATCAGACAAAGAAACCCGATGAATACTAACTTTACTATCCTTAGTTTAAATGTAGGATATGCAAAGGAAATATATCGGATGAATCATCCGATAATACGAAGCCAAACTGCTGCCAATGGTCCACAAATAAACACAGAGAAGAAGAAGAAGACGACAGTGTTGCTTGTTGGATGTGTGGTTGCTGTCCATGGTGCTGATCAAACAACCGTCACCGTGTCGCTGTTTTAGTGACTTTGGTTTGAACTAATAACCGACTTTGGCCTCAGACTGTAAAAGAACTACTGATTGGTTTAAAACAAAATAATCATCTTGGCTATGCACGGGAAGCTTCTGACTTCCCAATGTTGTTCATGGTGACAGTGGTGTGGGTAGATAAAATATATATATATATAGATAGATAGATAGATAGATAGATAGATAGATAGATAGATCTATCTATAGATAGATCTATCTATAGATAGATAGAT